TGTGAAGTTCCTTCCTTTGTTCTAACTTTAACAGTAGAACAGGTTCACGAGCTCCCAAAAGCTCAGGCGCTGGTTACCATGCCTAACCCAGAAGTGGGCCTGGGGCTGCCCGTCCATCAGTCTGGACTGTGCTCTTGGGGTCAGATGTCTGTGCTGTGTTGAGACAGTCTTGTCTGCAGGCTCTCTGCCCACCCCAGCGTCTGGCCATCCCTGGGGAGGGGTCAGTTCGAGAGTGTCAGGCCCCTTGATGAGCTCGTGCATTCCTCTCCAGGCCCTGAACATGGGGAGGCAGCCCTTCCAGGGCCTTTGTTGTATTGAGGGTCTAGAGTATTTAGACCCCGTGCCCAGAGCCAGGGGCACTGCAGGGAATAGCCCGGAGGGGGTCCCTGGCCTCTGGCTTCATTGTCTAGTGTGGAAAACAGTTCAGTAAACAGATGGGGAGATTTCAGAGGGGAAGAGCGTACCAGGAAGAGGGCAAAGAGGGTCATGTGGTAGAGAGCTAGGAAGCCCTGGGCTAGTTCACGTTCATCCACAGGGTCACTGGGAAGATTCAACATGCTGTTGAGGTCCAAGCTCGTAGCTCAGTGCCCAGCAAACAGAGATGCTCAGGACATGCCATTAGCACTACTCTACCCAAATTAGCAAGAGTGTTCGGAGATCGGCACTTTGTTCTTTAGCTTGGAATCCCAGGTGCAAGGATCTCGTTATCTGGCTCCCTGCCACCAAGGCTGACTGGGCTTTCCCTGGCAGCTGGTCATGCACCTGGCTGCAGTGCTACTGCTGACCTGGAGCCCACCGCCAGGGCTGCTCCCTCTGCCGGCTGCTGCTTGATCCTGGGCTTCATGCCTATGCTGCGACCTGCTTCTCTGCTCGTCCTGGCCGGCGAGTTCAGTCCTGGAGAACAGCTCATCTGGTCCTTTCATCTGGTCCCTTGGGGGCAAGAGCTTTTTTCTTTTTTTTTTTTAAGTATGTGTTTTCCAAAGCCTTTTCTTCCCTGGATTATAAACTCGAAAGCCTTTTTTGGATTGAAGATCCTTAGATGGAAGCGGAACGGCCCTCCCCTGCTGGGCCTGGGCCTGGAGCGTCTTGCTGCAGGGAAGGGCTGCCTCGGGACCCTGGAGTGTGGGGGGCATGTCCCCGTGCTGCCTTGAGCTCATCCATGTGCTCTTCCAGCCCTCCCTTCATGGCCATGGGACAAGGTCCTGGTGGCCTTAGATGAAAAGGGGCTCTCGAGTGACAGTGAGATGATGCCCTGTGGTCATGCTTCAATGAGGGTGACTCCCGGTCCTCAGGGAGTCCTGGGGGATGCTCACAGAGGGATGGGCTGATGTCTGGGGTTTGCTGTAAAAATCATTCAGAGTGCAGGGTGGGGGAGGGAAAGATGGACAAGGGCCCATCCTCGAGGATGTAGGAGGCCATGTCAGGCCTGAGCCTGGAGGTTGTGGGCAGAGGCCCAGGTTTCTGCATGTTGGCCTAGCATACCTCCTGTCCTTGTGATCTAGAACATTCTAGAATAGCTCCATCTCTGGCCTGTCTGGAGCACTGGCCACATCCTTTGACCTGCGGTCAGCTTGGGTTGAGTGGCAGCCTCTCCCTTCGCTTTGCCCCAGCTCCCCCTCTCCCTGTGGCCTCCTCGGGGCTGACTTGGCTGGTTGGTGGCATCATGTGGTCTCTGCAGGCCTTTGGGGGTTTATTTTGCTCCTTTTCCAACCCATGCTCTGCCCAGGTCCCGATGCCCACAAGCAGGAGAAAGCACTTTCAGGGGCAGGACACAGAATACCTGGCCCCAGATGTCCCATCCTGCTCCTGGCATAGCAGCTGTATCTTGTGAGGATGTCCTGTGCCGTGGTCCCCTTATCTGCAACACGGGGACAGTCCCAGAGCCAAGGGAGTGTGTTTAATGTGCTGAGGTCAGGGTCTTCTTGCTAATGTCATCTGGGTCATCTTGCCCAGGCAGTAGATGTCCCTTAGGGAGAGATGGGGGCCAGGCCCGCCCCTCACCACGGGCCATGTTGGGTGTGTTGCAGGTCCACTTCATCAACCCGGACACAGTGCCCAAGCCCTGCTGTGCCCCCACCCAGCTCAACGCCATCTCCGTCCTCTACTTCGATGACAGCTCCAACGTCATCCTGAAGAAATACAGAAACATGGTGGTCCGGGCCTGTGGCTGCCACTAGCCCCTCCTGGAAGCTGAGCCTCTGGGGCCACGTTTTTCTGGATCCGCTGTGTCACCTCCCAGTATCTCTCACCACCTGCCTTGGTTAGGAGCCAACGGACCAGCTGCCTCTTTTGAGACGTTCCCTTCCCCTCCCCAGTGGTAAAGGTGTAAGAGTCTCAGGGTTGGAGAGCCAAGTGGCTGTGGATCAGTTTTGCCTCCGCAGCCTCCTGTGGACAAGCTCCTACAAGCTGCTGCAGGCAAAACCTAACAGGAAAGAATCTCTACAAGGAAGATCTCGCAGCCACAGTCGTGGGCTGTGCCGTCCCCACGGGGCTCCGACTCGTTGACTCTGGAGGCCATGAGGAGACCAGGAGACCATCCGCCAGGCCACCAAACAGGGAGGAAGGCATGGCCAGGGGTGGGCCCTTGTGGCTGAGCTGAAGGAAAACTGGTGGGAAGGTCCTGTAACAAATGTCACAATAAAGCCAATGAATGCAAACGGCTAGGACGTTACAGATATGTTTTCCTCAACAGTCTATCCCCATTTCTTGATTTATTCTGACTTCATAGAAGCTGTGGCCACTGGAGGGTGGGAAGTCCCCAGTTCCATTCCTGTTTCAGTCTGAGCCTGCAGGGCCCCATGTTTACCCAGATCTGCCCAAATGCAGCTGCAGGGAAGGACCAGGAGCACCCGGAAGTGGCCATGTTGGCCCAAAGGAGAAGGCGTGCTGTGGCAGGGATGGACTTGGTGACTGGTTTCCCCTGTGAGGACGGAAGCAGGGCAGAATTGGGCTGCACCCTGAGGTTGGGAAGCACAGAGGAGACGAGTCCGCCGGCCTGCGGGGAGCAGAGTGCGCTCCTCCTCTGGGTGGACCCGTGCTCCTCTCTGAAGCCGGGCCTGCGGGGGCACTGTAGCTTCCTCTCTTCACTTGCTGACCCCTCTTAGAGGGCTCTGCAAACAGACTGTCTCCTTGAAGTAGGCAAGAGGCACCTGGTGGGAGGGCTGAGAGGCTCAGGTGCGCTGGACGCCAGCTGCCAGCAGGAGGGTGACCTCCCGAGCATGTATCCTGCTGGGGTGACAGTTCTCACATGGTTCTTGGTGCACACCTCACCTTTGCCTTGGCCGATGGGCCCCCCAAATGCTGTTCACAAGTTTCCAGCTGCAAATGCAAGGCCGTGGGGAGGGCGTTTCCTGCCCCTACAGGAAGAGGAGAGCTGCCCAGGCAACACCCATGGCCCTGCAGAGCCCGGGCTGCTGAGGGGCTCGGTCCTGTGCCTCCTGGAAACATCGGCTCTGCTTTTCTTTTTTCTTCTTCAGTAGCTTGGGCTGCAGCCTTTGCTGCCTGGTTGTTGGGGGAAGAGTGTTTTTGTTGCAATTTGCTTTGTTTAAAGGCAGAGCAGGGGCTTTTGTGTGACTCCCTCTTGGTTCTCGCCGCGGCTCCCGGCCTCTGGTGAGCATGGTGTACACTTCAACCTGTAAATAGCTGTGATGAGACAAAGAAGTTATTTATTTCCACCTGAAGCTCTTCTGAAACCCTCCTCGCCGCTCTCCCTCGGGACCGTGAGCGCTGGCCTTCCACCTGTATGTCTTCTTATTTAAGACTATTTATTAACCGTTGGATCAATGTACCCACGGCTGTGGCCGAACAGTCCTCAGTGAAAATTCTGTACAAAGAGACAAAATAAAAAGGGTTTTGATTTGTAATAAAAGGAGACGTTTGGTTCTGGTTCTCGGGCCGCGTGTCTGTGCGCACCGCTTTCCTGGACGGCGGGGCGCTCTCCAGCTGCTGAGGACCTGGCCTTGGCCTGGCCGCGGGGGTGTGGGGTGCGCTGTTTATCACACAGGCCTGGGGGCAAGGCGCTGGCTCTTCAGTGTTTGGTGCAGCTGTGTGGGCTCCGGGAGGGACGTGGAACCAAACAGCAAATGTGCATTTGGTCGTCGGGGCACGGAGATCCTCGGTTGGATTATAGCTCAGCTGTCAGCAGCTGTTTCGAAGAGGCAGGGGGTAAATTAGCTGTGTTTACTGCTCACATAGTTGAAAGATTCAGTCATCCCAATAAAACAGAGGCACAAGAGAGAGAAGGGGGGCACACACCCAAAACTCTGAAGCACCGCTGGCCCCAGGGCCGGCCTTGTCCGGCTGCCTCACTCGGGCAGTTCAGGGGCTGTGGTGGAGCCCGGCTCTGGAGGTGCCCGGTTGTGGACCTGGTGAAGGCGGGTGTCCAGCGCCTGGCTGTGCTCCGGGTGGCCCTCAGTGGGCGTGGGGAGCAGATTGTGGCTGCCTTTTCTCCTCGAATCTGCAGCCCAGGCACCTGACGCTTCCAGCATCTCAGCCCGCTGCGGACACGCCGCTCTCTCCTCCCCTGTTGCCTCAGACCAAGCTCCTAACAAGTTCCAGCCCCTGCGATTTCCAAACGCTCTTGACATTGTCCTGACGTGCAACGTAGCTTTTGTTCTATTTTCCAGGCCCAAGACCAGAGTCCCAGGCGGAGGCCCAGATGTAGCTCTGCAGACGGGCCTCGTCCCTCGCTTGCTGTTTACACATTTCTAAAAATGTGAATTTGTTGCCAATGGGTTTTTGAAAATCTGAAGTTGGGGGTGAAAAAAAAATCCCTTCATCTGGCTTCTCTTGAGCCATCGGCAGATGTGACCACCCTGGGCCCCCTTCCCGCGCAGCAAATTTTGGGCTGAGCAGAGGGACAGCCCAGGCCGAAGTCCCCACCATGCGATATGGTCCCGCTCACCAAGGGGCAAGGCCCAGTGGCCATTTAGAAAATGGTAGACAAATTCATCTGCACCCATGTCCCTGTGAAGTAGCAAAGTATCAGGAGAGGACAGAGCCGGGGAAGGGCCAGCGCCTCTGCTCCCTGGCTGGCCTGCTCCGGCCCTGGGCAGGCCCTGGGCAGGCCCTGGAGGCGAGCAGGCCCTTCCACCCCTGGCTCCCAGCCCCCTGTTCGCTCGCCCCTTGGATTCTTTCCTTGTCTCTTCTCAGCCCTGCTGCCTGATGGGCACAGAGAGGTGATGGAATTGCCCCAAGTTCCCCAGCTAATAACCGCGGGAACTGGAAATGCGCCACCAAGTTTGGGTTTCCCCCTAGAGCTCCCCTAAGTTGACATCTCCTGGGGCTGCTCTGGAAAAGTGGGGGTTCCCAGGCCCCAGCTCCAGCCCTCCGATGTCCTTCCCAACCTGAGTGTCAGTCCCTAGTCCAGGCTGAGTTCCGGACCACGTGCTCGGGACCTGGTCTCCCTCCTGCTTCCAGGCTGTGAGGGCCTTCCTCTGGGGGCATGACCCCCCTGGCTTTCCCAGGGCTGGGCGATGGCCTCGCCGGTCATGGACCTTGCTCATTTGCAGACCTGCCCCTCTGTTTTCTGTGCCTGGTGATCACCCTGCGTGGATCTTGCTGGGCACTGGGAACATTGCCAGTGGCCATCGGCCGGCTCTGTAGGAGCTTCTAACGTGGCTGTTTGAGCCTCCTCGTTCCAGATCTTTTGGAGAAGGTGACCATGAGTTTCCTGGGGCTGCCATAACATTTTTCTACAAACTGGTGACTTAAATATTTATTCTTGCAATTCTGGAGGCTGGATGTCCAAGGTCAAGGTGTACATGGGCTGCGTCCCTCTGAGGCTCAGGGGCAGGCCTCCCCGTCTCTTCCAGCCTCTGTGGGCTCCTGACGTTCTTTGGTTGGTCGCTGTGCCACCCGCCTCTGCCGCTGCTTTCACGTGGCCCTCTTTGTGTTTGCTCTGTCTCTGATAAGGACACTTGTCATGGGACGTAGGATCCACCCAGATAATCCAGGTTCATCTCATCCCTAGATTCGTCACTAATCTCATCTGCAAAGACCTTTTTCCCGTGTGGGGTCCCACTCACAGGATCCAGGGCTCAGGGGTGGACAGACATGGTTTGGTGACACAGTCCAACCCGCTGCAGTGAGAGGACAGGTCGCTCTTCCAGGCCGCACCCCTACCCAGCCTCCCCATCTTCCCCCACCCCCCACTGGTGGTGCACTCCGGGCTGGGCCAGGAGCAGGGCTGTGGGGCTCAGGAGGTGTCCAGGGGACCTGGCCGGCTCTGCAGGGCAAGGGTGGCCCTCAGGAGCAGGGACTGCCCCACAGACCTTCCTCTGGCTGCAGCTCCTTGGCTGACTCGCGCTGTGTCTGCGCCAGGCACTGCTCTGGGCAGTGGACAAGCGACAGAGCTCAGCATCTGCAGGCAGGAAGCTGCTCTCGGGCGACCAGTGAACACACGGCGGCACCGCCCGCTTGTCGGGACCCTTCTCCAAAAAAATAAAATAAAAATTCTATTTTATGATCCCGTCGGCATAAAGACGAATATAAACCAGGCTGAATTCTATTCATTTATTTTCTTCTGATTTTAAAGGTCATTAAAGTATTTTTTGTGGGCCCCTCACAGCACCACGACCCGGGCACGGCCCACCGTGTCGATGGAGA